ATATATAGACGCGCCTCAATCTAGCGCATGCGCCGGACGCGTCAGCGCGGGCTGCATGGAGTTTCCGAGTCCGCTGTCCGAGACGATGAGCAGCACTGCCGCGGGCTTCCCGAAATGGAATCTTCCAGCCCTCAGTTTGTGGGGTTTGCAGCGCCATACCTCATGGTTATCCGGCAACTGAACAGGAGACCGGAAATTCTTTTAAAAAATAAAGAGAATCCATATGCGCAAAACAAATTGACCACCGCAGGGGTCGAACCTGCAATCTCCTGATAACCGAGAATTTTGAATCCCTTCGTAGTCAGACGCGATGCCATTTCGCCAGGCGGCCATGTTAGTAAACCACATTTTAAGGTGATACATTGTTGCAAATAGAAATGAGGATGTGCTCGCCCACTGTTCGCCTTTGGTTCGCCTTATCGTCTGAAAGAAAACAACTAGAAGGGCATGATTTTTGCATATTATACATGACAAGCTCAGGTTTGTGGAGAAAATCACCGAAAAGTACAAAAATTTTAGCCGTGCAAAAATGTGGCTCAACCCAGGATCGAACTGGGAACCTTCTGTATGCTTCACCATGTGAGACAGAAATCATAACCATTAGACCATTGAACCAACACAAAATGTGCTGTACGCGATGACTATAACGCTCCCGCCTCCGACCTGACCAGATATAGGAAGGTTGCCCGTATCCAGAACACCCTCAAAAAGCATCAGACACGATCAGTCCACCATGCCCATGGTGTTGGAACAGAGGTCAATGTTTAGTAACGAATCTACCAACGATGGTATGAGGGGAGACGAGAAAGAGTGACGGAACTGCCACAAGGGTTTTATATCTGCAGACTCGGAGGATGGAATGTTATCTATTCGTGATGAGGCAGGGATGGTATGCCAGCCAAACAGCAGATGCCCCTACCCAACAAGGATGGCGATGGCAGACGTGCAGATACTACAAGTCCCGTGATGCAACTCAGTCAGAGGGTTGAAACGCACCCCCGCACTCATTTCTTCCCTTTGTCCGGACCAAAGAAATTGAGCAGGCCACCGCGTTTTGGAGCACCTCCTCTGGCCCTGGGGGTAGACTTGGACTTACCCTTTGCTGGGACGTCTTCTTTCGAAGAGGCCTTGGGCTTGGCTTCTTCGAGTTTGGGCTCGGCAGCCTTCTTCTTGCCTTTCGGTTTCTCCGGCTCAGTCTCCTCTGCCTCCCCTACAGACTCGTAGGAGGAGTAGTCCTCAGTCTCTACAGAAGGCAAATTGATGTCTAAGGAGAAATGTGAGTGAATATTGAAACGTACGCATATATCCCTTCGCGTCAGTTGTCGTCCGGCTTTTGACGACGCGTCGCTTCTTCAGGCCATTACGGCCAACTGGAACAACCTTACGCGGTTTTCTCTTCTTTAGCGGGACAACGGGTTCATCGTCATCTAACTCTTCAGCATCACTGGTACCGGGAGGTGCTGTAGCATCTTCTGCAACATCGCTCTCTTCCTCCTCCTCCTCCACTGGTGCGGTACGAACTTTGCTTAGCCTGGATGCTCTGATGACTTGTTCTGTCTCCACGATGAGCCTCACAATCGAAGATGAAGAAGTTCAGAGGCACAAACCGTCGTCGATGTCCATCATAGCTCTCAAGCTCATCTCGGAGTCTGATTCTATGTTACTCTGGGCCTTTGGGCGGCGGCGTCCTGGTATGCGGACGCCGCTTTCCTCCTCGTCATCGGAAACGACAACTCCCTTCTTGATCTTAGATGAGCTAGATGCAACTGCTGGCTTGCTCTTGGCCGATGTCGAGTCGGATTCGGACTCTGAATGGGAAAGACTGCGCGACTTGCGCTTTGTGCCACGCTGAGGGGATTTCCGTAATTTGTTCAAAAAGGGAGTGAAAGGGTATTCACCTGCGGAACTTTGTCTTGTGCCATCGAGCTAGCAGCTGGCTTAAACGTCGAGACCTTTTCTGGTTCCGTCATCGACTTTTTGTTCAAAGCGGGCTCCTTGGAGGACACAGCTGCCATTGATTCCACCTTGGGCTTCGGGGCTTCCTTCGGTTTTTCCGCGACAGGCTCTTTATCTTTGCCTTTCGCCTTGCTGAAGTCAAGTTTACCTGATGCCTTTGGTTTGTCTTTCGATTCCGTCTTCTGTATCGGCGCTTTCACAGACGATTGTTCCTTCGTTTCCGAGGCTCCCTTGCCTTTATCCGGCTGCTCCGATTTCAATGAAGCTGCTGCTCTCAGTGAACTCTTTACGGGTGCGTCCAGAGTCGTTTTGGAAGAGGATGCTGCACCGGCGCGGCTACCTCCAGCCTTGATCTAACAGAATAATTAGCATTCGAGTTGCTCTGTGAGGATCAGGTCAAACAGTACCTGTACATGTATGCCAGTGACCTTTCCAACGATTGGGAAGGAATCTGCGCCGCTTTTCGCGTCGGCGTTCCGGACGCTGATATTTGCCGCACAGATGAGGCCCGCGTCCTGTAGTTAATCAGCCAATGTCAGATGGTCAATGTGGTGCCTATACGCACCACTAGTCGCGACGGAGAGAGGCTGTATACATGTATTGAATGGATACGCGAAAATTGAGACATTGTCTCTGTTCGGATACAGACCCATCTCATGAACGCCGCGTACAACCAGATCCAGGCAATACCACGCACCGTCAAGAACCTTTGCATCTACCAGCATCACCTTGCTCTCGTAAACTACATCCGGCTCGTTCACCCCATCGAAATCCACCTCCATGTCATAGTCATCCGGGGTACTGCTGGGCCGAGTGGACGACGCGATTTCTCCGCAGATGAGATAGGTAGGCACGGCCGGTGTGTCTGTGCTTTGCGTGGCCTCATAGAATGCCTTCAGCTCACTGTGAGCGGGTTCAGCTATCAAGCTGTCGCAGAAGATTGGGAGTTCTCACTTCTTTGCGTCATTGACGTGGATACCCAGCTCTCGGCTTAGAGAGCGGAAAGTTACCTAGGACGTTGAATTATCAAAATCTCTTGCTAAGCCGCTTGTGTAGTGAACATACCACACTGCGTTTGATGTGGAGTTCCTTTTGAAGAAAACTCTGGGCACTTGGGGTAGTCATCATGGTGTTGGAGCAAGTCAAGATCTGACGCGTTTGGCGTTTACGCGCTTGTGGCGCCAAAAGCGTAACTTGGGCTCAGTCCACTCACCTGCCCGCCCTTGATCATGATGGCACGCAACCACATGACCATGGTACCATAAATCGCAAGGTGTGCAAAATAACAAGATACAAGGTGGGAATACACATGGAGCGAATGTAATGTAAAGACTGGTTGCAATTACACCGGTGCACAGTAGAAGCACCGGTGTAAGATATTCTAAGATTATCGTATGTCGAGGTCAACAACACTATCCGGTAGTAAAACTGCATGTGTGTCCAGTTCGTAATGCCCCAACTATGCCGTGGGAACGTGAGGCGACAGCACTTGACGAACATCCCTCCAAGGTGACTCCGTGCTAACTGGCGTACTCGAAATAGTCTTGAGGAAGAGTGACCAACGCTCATCTGATGCCTTTACAGCACTAAGCTCCGCAAGTTGCGCGCGAGTGGGATGGTGCGCGTGGAATACGAGCGCGTATTCCGAGAGGTCACCTCGTTGTTTGATCCGCACGGTGTTGCGACCTGGCGCCATGAACGATGATATGTCGACGCACTGATCAGGGGTGAGCTGCAGAGCGACCATCAGTGCGAGCACAAGATGAGTACCACCAAACGTACGACAATCGGTGGGGATAGAGAGATGATAGTTTCTTTCTCGTTGCGCTTTGCCTGCAGAGATAAGCGGTTCGAATGTGGCCAGGAACATGATGAGCGGTATGTCAAGTCCTCAGCTCCTCGAAAATGACTCTCCGACTGTAACGTATTGAACAACTCTGGAAGGCGGTAACACCCCAATGAGATACAAACACTTTGTGATGCGTTTCTGTAGTGGTTCACAGCTCATTTCCTAACCAAGGTCGACAAGAAAATTCAAGGACGTACGCTGAATCAACCTTCCTGCTTACCCATCGCGAGACGTTGGAAAACAAGGCTTCGCTCAGGTTGAACTCGATGTCGTGCGTATGCGTGAACGATTTCCCTTGTAGACAATGTATAACAACCATGTTGCCACCGAATCTCTTTCCGCTTGCGTCGTCCGGCACTTCTTGAAGGGCTTGAATCGGAGACACCTGATCAATTTGAGGACTCAAGCTCGGTGGGACAGGGGCCATAGAGAACCCGGTGTTTGGTGAAGATGCCGGACTCTCTCTCGGCTGCTCGGGAGGGGATGGTAGGTTCGTGTGCGCCTCCGTGGGTGGGGGCTCAGGAGCGGTGAGTGTAGTGTTTAGTTCCGTTCTGTTATCCGCGACTTCGAGCGGCTCCTGAGCTGTGGTATCGCTAGTCGTCGGAGGGTCAACATCCATTAGTGGCGTTTCGGTTGATGTTGGCCGAGGTTCAGCTGTGGGTGGCTCCGTTGACAGTGGCTCCGTCGACAGTGGCTCCGTCGACAGTGACTTTACTGGCGGTGAATCTGGTTTTGGTGAATCGTTGGGGTGTGGCAATGGAACAGCTTGGGCGCTGCCAGGGGCCTGCTCCGCTTCAGCGCTTCCCACGGTCGTGACAGGTTGATCCGGGGGGTCTGCTTGGACCGGCCAATGATTTTGCGCATCAATATCCATCGCAGAAGGCTTGTCCTTAATCCCATCAGCATCTTTGGAGGTCCCAGCAGACACTGAGGTCTCGACAGGCGGCTCGGTAACGAGAGGAGGAGAAGTGGATTTAGAGGTAGATTCAGCCATTTCTTGAGCCACTTCAGGCGGGAGAACCCTCCGAGGAAATCTAGATGGTACCATGCGTGCTGTTTTCTTCTTGGGAGATGGAGAGGAAACAATGGCGGGTGGTTGATTACCGAGCGGTGCCGTCGATGACTCTCCTGCCTGTGAGGTGGACGCCATCGCGATCGGCTCACCAGCTGGGAGGGCTATATTCTGTTTGGATTTGAACCAGTCAAGATCGCGAGCTTTGAGCTCCTCTGAGAGCTCTGCTTTCCGAAGTCGCTTGGGCTGAGGCTTTACAGATGCAGAAGATGTACTGAGATCTGGTGGGGCAGTTGTTGTGGGAGATGAGAGGTTGTGTTTGGTCTCTGGGCTATGCTGAGCTAGACTTGTGGATGCGCAAGCTTGAGGCATGATGTGTTGCTCGACATCGACAGGTTCCCTCTTAATGTTTAAGGACATATCCGGGAGCGAGGGGAGCGAGAAGGGCATCGGAAGTATCGGTGGTTGCGTATAAGGCCCAACTTCAACTAAGGGGGACATCGTCGTTGCACCGCTAGGACCTGCTACTGGAGCAGAGCTGATCGCGATCATCTTTGAATATCTCCACTGTAAGACTCTCAGGTACTGACTAGCTTACCCCGCGTGAACCGACAGCTGGCTCGTAGCATGAGCATGGGCGGCATGTGCTGACGCACGCAGGAGGGGCAAGTTGTTTAAGATATCATCGGTTTGTTGGATAACACGCTGAAGTCTAACTGTGACGCCAACATGATATAAACGGAGAGACAACGTCAGTAATGGAGGGCTTTACCTTGAAGATGGTTCTCTGGGAAGAGT